GTGAGGCCACCGCCATGCCGTCGTCGCCGCTGCGGGTGGCGGTGGTCTGCTCGAGCAACCAGAACCGGAGCATGGAGGCGCACAACATCCTTAGGTAGGTGGGCCTCCGCCCTGGCCCCGCGCGCCCCGTCCCCAGGCCGGTCCGCCGTCCCTCCGGCCCGAGCTGGGCGAAGGCTGCCTCTGCTCTCCCCGGCGCGTCCGGGGCCGGGCGGTCCCTGGAGGAAGCCCGGGGGGCTGCCCGGCCCGAGCTCTTGGACTCCGGGGGCCGAGCTCCGCGAGGGGTGGACAGGGCGCGGTCGGCCGCGCGGTGCGCCCACGTGTGCTCAGCATCGCGGGGAAATCCAGGTTCGAAGTGAAAACGTTCCCGCGCCCCCGGAACCGCAAAGCTCCTGGGAGACCCGGAGGCTGGTGCTTGGCCCGCCCGCCTGGCACGCCGGTCGGCGCATCGGAAAATGGGGGGCCTGTCTGGCCCAGACGCCGGCTTAGGGTCCAGGGCAAAGCGTCACTTACCACCTGTTGGGAAGCCTGCGGGACGTGACCTCAGCACAGGAAGAGGCTTTTTTAAAAAAAATAGGGAAATAGCAGTGTTGTCAACGTCAGGAATTTGTGTGTTTGCTTCTATCTAGCCACACGTTCAAGTCTCGAGTCAGAAACCCTCCCCAACCCCTTTGATAGGCCCCGGCGTCTCTGGAGGGCAGTGGAGTGGGCGCCTCGCGGTGATATTTCAGCGGAACTCCTCGGGGGCCCTGGTGTCTTTAGTGAGTTTATTCTTGCCTGACAGAGTTTCCCCTCGGTCACTCGCTTTATTGTGACAGTCGTGCGCCCGTCAGTGGTGACGGTAAGCACAGTGGGGACTGCCTTCGCTCCCGGCGCCCCTGTGTGCGGATGTGAAGCGCGGCAGAGCTGCTGTGACCGGCCCTGCCCGAGCCCCGGTGACTTGGGGAGAGCGGGGCCCCCGCACTCTGGTTTCCCTGCTGAGGCGGGCAGGGTCCCGTGGCCTGGATCTGCTAAGGAGGAGCTGACGCCTCCCAACCAACATCGGCGGCCCGTCCGCAGTATTCACGGGATGCCTTTGTTGGGTAGCGTGTTATCACACGCTTTGAACCTGAGAAGTCTATGTGCAGGTTATTTTAAACTGTAAAGTTATTTTAAAACTAGGCATATGCTGGAGTTACATTGTGCTGGGTCACCCTCCAAACTGCATTATGTCTCCAGTCATTAAAAATTGGGTAAATTTAAGCAGAAGAATGCAGCGTTCACACCCCTGGAAAACTACTCAAGGGAACTGATATTTAATGTTTTTAATTATAATAACAGGTGCTGTGGAGACCACCTCATCCTGCTGGTTCTGGCTGGTGATCCTTTGTTTAAGTCCTGCTACTAAGTATTTGTGTAATAAAGTTGGGATGAAATCTTAGAAAAGAAAAAGTTTAAAAAATTACCTGCAGCAACTTTGTGAGTGAAATCGGTTTCAAAGTCATGCCTGTCTGATGCCCTGGGCTGGCCCCGGGAGCTCAGTTGGTTAGAGCGTCAGCCAGATAACACCAAGGCTGTGGGTTTGATCCAGGTCAGGGCACACACAAGAAGCTACGGCCAAGTGCAAGAACAAGTGGAACAACAGATCGATCCACAATCCCCCCTCCCCCTCTCTCTAACATCCTATATAATAAAAGGCTAATATGCAAATAGAACGAATGGCAGAAAAATAGGAACAACCAACCAACCAACCAGTCACTATGATGTGCACTGACCACCAGGGGGTGTGTGCAGAACATGGCGGACATTGGCCATGGGGGGAATGGTGGAGCAGGTGAGGGGGTGCCAGACCAAGGCGGGGCACCATTTGCTGTCATTGGGGTGAGCCTCTGGTGGTTACTGAAAATTCTTTGCTGCCACGCGCCACAGTCCCGGCTGGCGCTCACACCCTCTGCTGGCGCCGGAGCCGCCGCTCGCACCCACTGCCAGTGCCCGGCGTCGGTCCTGGTCACTCAGCGCCATCAGCGGGTGTGAGTGGTGGCTGCTGGCCCCGATCGCCCCTGAGGGCTTCTCCACCTCCCTCTGCTCCTGAGGGGTTATAGGGGCAGCAACTGCTGCTCGCACCATTGACAGCACTGGCCCCACTAGCACAGCCCCAGTCACTCCACACTGTCAGCAGGTGCAAGCGAGAACAGCGCCATCAGCGTGTGGGGTGTCGACGGGAGCAGGGCTGCCTGCAGACTGTACCAGGGGCAGTGGTGGGAGGGGCCGGTGGGGGTGAGGAGGATGGGCCAAGACCCATCACTGCCTACCGCAGCCTCGCGGCCCACAGTTCCTTTCAAGGTGCACGAATTCATGCACTGGGCCCCTAGTCAATAAATAAAAATGAAAAATAAAAACAGCAAGTTCTTAGTAGTTCATAGTGGTGGGAACCAGCACAGCACTGGGTCTCCTGTGAAAAGGGGCAAAACAACCAGAGTAGGAATTCTTTTGTGTGCTTTTACCGAGTTTACTGTCTTTCAAGTTTACTCATCACAAGGGCAGAATGAGGACAAAGGAGGTAAGCTTAGGGTAACACATTATTCATGTGGTGAATGTAAGGTTCTTTTAGACATGGCTCTTTAATTTCTAAAATGCCTATTTAGAGAGTGTTTTCCTTTGTTAAAAAAGTAGTCTTTGTTTGCAAAATTCTCACTGAAGAAAATATGGAAGATGAAGATCACTCAAAATACCATTTTCCTGTGTCTAATACACTTAAAGGGAGATGAAAACGAAGCTCTGTAACCTCTCTTCACATCATGTGAACATGGTCTGGTTGCAGCACTCATTTCTGTGTGTTTTTTTAAAAATTATTTATTTATTTGAGAGAAACATCGATTTGTTGTTCTGCTTATTTATGCATTCATTGGTTGCTTCTTGTACGTGCCCTGACCAGGAATCAAGCCCTTGGTGTATCTGGACGACACTCTAACCAACTGAGCAACTTTTCCAGGGTCACTCACTTTGATGCCTTGAGTTTGCACATCTGTTCCTGTGGTGACAGCCAGTGGTGGGGACCCTGGGCAGGGTGACTTGTGTCCCGTCTCCCGTTAATAGACATTTGGGTGTTCCTGTTCTATTTTGCAGTCACACAATGTCAACATCCTTGTGCCATCTAAGTATCTGCACATTTTCTGGATATTTCCTTGGCATAAATTCCTAGAGGTAGAGTTACATTTTCATACGTTTTTGCCAGACTGCCTTCCAGAAAATACCTATTTATAAAATTCTCATTTCCTCACACTCTTTTCACGCTGCCAGGGCAGAAGTGTAGGTCTCACCTTCCTTTATTTTTAAATTGCTTTGATACTGAACAATTTTTCATGTCTTTCTCACTGTTGAAAAAGTACTTATGGCTTTATGTACTTGGATTTTTACAGGGCTTTAAAGCATCTTCAGAAACTTACTGAAGGTTTCTGTTACAATTAGGAGAGCTATGAAAGCCAGATTTAGAGATTTAGACCTTAAAGGTGATGTTTGTGGAAAGCAAAGAAAAATGATGTGGTAGATGGAAAAAAGCAAGAAACTTGTGTGCAGTCTGGTTACAAATACAAAAGAGTATGCATAGGAAAACAAACAGATCAAAAAGAATGTGGTTACCTGAACACACTCTGTAGGTAGTTGTCAGTGAAACCCTGTTTTGTTTTATTTTTGGCCTCTTGAAATCAGCTTGGACTGCATTTTTTTTCTTTGACAAGTCGAATACAAGTGATAATGAGTGTTGGCACTTTCTAGAGCTAGTCAGAATGTTCCCTGGGGTGATCATTTTTATCTTTTCAGACTAAAATTTTTCAAATGCCAATGCGGGGGGGGGCATTAGGTTTTTAGGGTGTTGGAAGACTTGTATGCTCCCATAGAGACTCCTGTTCTTTGTACTTTGTGGATTAAGATTTCTCTTCAGCCGAAACCGTTTGGCTCAGTGGATAGAGCGTCGGCCTGCGGACTGAATGGTCCCAGGTTCGATTCCGGTCAAGGGCATGTACCTGGGTTGCGGCACATCCCCAGTAGGAGATGTGCAGGAGGCAGCTGATCGATGTCTCTCTCTCATCAATGTTTCTAACTCTCTATCTCTCTCCCTTCCTTTCTGTAAAAAATCAATAAAATATAGTTTTTTAAAAAAAAAGATTTCTCTTTAGAGCCAATTCATTTTTTGTTCCAAACTACCTCCTAGATGTTAAGAGGCATGTTGATTTTTGGAAGCTACATTTCTAATTGTACATGTAGCAATTCAAAACAAATTTTATTTTATTTTATTTTATTTTTAAATATATGTTATTGGTTTCTTACAGAGAGGAAGGGAGAGGGAGAGAGAGATAGAAACATCAATGATGAGAATCATTGATTGGCTGCCTCCTGGCATGCCCCACACTGGGGATCGAGTCCATAACCCAGGCATGTGCCCTTGGCCAGAATCGAACCCGGGTCCCTTCAGTCTGCAGGCCGACGCTCTACTCACTGAGCCAAACCGGCCAGGGCTCAAAACAAATTTTAAAGACAGACTTCTATGAGCTGCCGGGCTGAGTTCTCAGTCACAACTCCCTGGCTGTGTGGTTGTGGGAAGGTGAGCAGGGGCTGCAAACATGGGAGAAACAGGTGCGCCCGTCTCTGGAGCTCCTCTTGCAGGTGCTTTCCCAGCCCCACCTGACTGCTCACAGGCACAGGGGAGGAGGCGCCGCCCAGAGCAGGAGGCCCAGCTTGTGAGGGACCCGAGGGGCCCGGTCATTGTAGATGTGACAGCCAAGACTCAGGATGGGAAAACCTGGGTTGAAAGGGATCCGGGGGGTGGAGGTGGGGGTGCCACAGTCAACTGAGGTCCTGCAGTTCTCCGATCTGGATGGTGCTCTCAGATCTTCACATCACGTGGGCCCCAAGCCACACGGGGAGAGAAGGCGCTCGGACCTCCTCCCAGAGGGGACGTGTCTCAGGCTGCCTGAGGTGGTGTGGTCACACACCTGGCACATGTCAGACAGGGTGCTCCCACTCAAGGTGCCCAAAACCTCTGGTCTGAGCACATTTACAGAAACTGCTTACTAGGGTGGGTCAGCTGGGTCCTGCAGCCTCTGTGGCTGCATCTTTGAT